GGGCGGTCATATATCATCCACCCTTGGGGGTGGCCGCGGGGGTAGAAGCAAAAAATCTTACCGAGCAAAAACTATCATCAGTGCTCGGTAAAGCGAGCTGAACGTTTCGCCCGCTTCTCTCTTTCCCTCTTCCTCCTCCTTTCCTCGCCATATTCTCTTCATCTAAGGTCTACGAGTCGTCGCTATTCTACGTACATACATCCTCCTCGCCAGTTTTCCACGAAGGTGGCTAACAATGGTTTTATACAGTGAGCGCAACTTTGTCGATCTTTCGTTTCTGCATTTTTTTTGCCAAATGTCCTTTCTCCTTCCAAATTATCGTTTCATAAGGTTCCTCGGCTGGAACTCGAGTCTCGTCTGTTCTTCGAGAAATTACAGTCAGAAACGATGATGAGTGGGTACTTCTTTCATTGCAAATCCAGATTTCAAGAATATATTAAAATATACGACGGTCGGATTTTTGCGCTCGAATGCAGAATCTACACCCACACGGTTGCTATGTTGTTCGTCTTTCTGTTTTTCATCCAAACACGGCGCTTAGGTCTCGACTCTCACCGATCTCGTCCAGATTCCTACACGCTGCTTTCTTTTTAATTTTGACTTCTGCCTGTCGCCTGTCCACCGTCCATCAGCAACAATGGCTTACTCGAGTCGTGAGTTTTCAGCACGATCGTTATTTTATTCCGGGGGACTATCGGAAGGCACGTTCGCGTACGGCCGATTGTGCTCTCTCTCTCTCTCTCTCTCTCTCTCTCTCTCTCTCTCTCTCTCTCTCTCTCTCTCTCTCTCTCTCCCTCCCTCCCTCCCTCCCTCCCTCCCTCCCCCCCCTCTCTCTCTCTCTCCGCAACGGTGCCAATGTAAATAGACGGGAGCGACCAAGCATGGCGGGTGGCTGAGTTTTTCGTGGTGTATCGCGGTAGCCCGATGGTCACGCCTGGCGAGCAACCTACGCGTGTTGTTCTCCGATCGGGAACGTTCGATCGGTATTGAGAAGTCCGGCAAAAACGGGCTTAGCCGGCGCAACGAACCGTCTTGCGACCAACACCCTGCGAGAGTACGTTTGGAAAACAACCGACAGATGTATTACAACCTCATTATATTGTAATCATGCGTACGGCAAACGCACGTAACTAGTCTGCGGAGTTATCACGCCCTGACGCGGATTTATCTCACGGCGCAGTGACGACTAATTAAGATTTCGTTTATCACCGGATCTCCTGTCGAATCATTCATTGTCAGGGGGAATTCGCGTTTCTCCCGTGACAGTGCAGTGCGGAAGGTCCGAGATTTCCAAAAAAAAAAAATATCCCGCATACGCGCGTTTTTTTCTCGCATATTAATTCAAAACGGAAGAAGATGACTTCATTATTCAGGCCAATGGAGAATTGGTATTACAATAAAAATTTAACGCGCTGTGTGAGGAGGACCTCGAAGCTGGAGGGTGCAATCAAACGGTCGTGAGATATATCAGCAGCCCGAGTAGATTCGCCCGATTGTTGAAAATTACACGTTGAGTCTTCTTTTTGTCTTCCAAACTCAGTCTTCCAAAGCCGAGCCGGTAACTCCGGCTAACACGATCAATTATTGGTATCTGAAAAAGTCCTGATCTCTCTCGGTGTTCGCTTTGGAGAGCAGCTTTCGGCGCTCGATCGCGCGCCGCTCTCGATAATTCCTCGCTCGCGCTTATATATATATATATATATATAGTTTCCACCAACGAGCATCACGATGCGCATCTTTGCGCCTTTCGATAGTACTGTACCTGCATAGCGAGCGGCCGCGGGCGACCAGCGGAGCATCCTCCACGGACTCTCTTTTTATTACATCGGCGAAAGCCTCTGGTCGGTCTTCTTGTTTGCTCAGAGGGGGAGAGGATCTTCGGTCGCGCGGGATAGTCCTCACGGGGGAGCAGGAGAAGGAGGGATGAGCCGAGCAGCAGCAGAAGCAGCAGCAGGAGGATGAGAAGGAGGAGAAGGAGGGTCTGAAGTTACACCGGCGGTAGTCCTGTTGACCGACGGACTGCGGCAGGATGTCGATTATCGACGGTTTTTGCCGTGATTCCCCTTTTTCGAGCCGAGCGCATAATTAGCTTTCGTTATTCTAGCGCGCACCGCCGAGCCGAGTCGAGTCGAGTCGAGCCACGCCGCGCGCTGCCGCCGACGACCGGCCGACCGGCCGACCAGCCGACCAACCGACCAGCTTCCGCCCGCTGACAACGATCGAAGGAGAGAGAGAGAGAGAGAAAGAGAGAGAGTGAGAGAGAGAGAGAGAGAGAGAGAGAGAGAGAGAGAGAGAGAGAGAGAGAGAGAGAGAAGAGTGAGTGAGTGAGTGAGTGCGTGAGTGAGTGAGTGAGTGAGTGAGTGAGTGAGTGAGAGAGAGAGAGAGAGAGAGAGAGAGAGAGAGAGAGAGAGAGAGAGAGAGAGAGAGAGAGAGAGAGAGAGAGAGAGAGAGAGAGAGAGAGAGAGAGAGAGAGAGAGAGAGAGAGAGAGAGAGAGAGAGAGAGAGGAGACTCCTTACTCGCTCCTGTAGCGCATTATACCTCGGCCGCGATCTTCCTCCTTCGGCCGCTATTGTCTCTCCGTCTCTCGACCGCCTCGCATTCCCGCTCTCTTCGCGGTATTATCCGTCGCTCCGCTCTTCGCCACCGCTCGTCGGCACCGTTGGGCGATTTCAGATGGTCGCGCGCTACGCGCTTCGGACGACGAAGGCTCGGGCGATTTCCTTCCTCCAGCGAGTGGTCAGACCCGGGGTCGCGATGATGATGATACACTTTCTTCTTTCTGGGAACCGCGCGCGGGAGAGGAGGGAGCGCGTTAATGTCGCGTAACGAAGGCACAATTGTGCGTGCGCGAGATAACGAAGGTTGGGTGCTGGATCACCTCGAATTGGAGAAATGTATTTCCCGCATTGCGCACGCGCGCAGGACCGCCGATCCTTCTTAATCGAATCCGTCGTTTCCTCTAGAAAGAAATGAAAGGATCGACACCTTTGTGTGTTGGATTTTTGTTAGATTCTCTAAAAGGGGCTGACATGGCCTCTTCTCTCTTTCTGATATCTCTGGAAGTCACTCAAGATTCTGTCGGTTTCTTTTTCACGAATTTATATCGCTGCCTCTCTGGATTTTATAACGATTGTTAACAAATCTCGTGCTCTTTCCCGCGCCGATAACTCGTGGAATGCAGCTTGACTACAATACGCGCGATTATCGTTTCCCGTTAGCCGTTAAGAAAGCCTCGTTACAAGCGAAGTTTGTAAATGCTTTAGGTGAAAGAGACGAGGATCGGTTCTTCGTGAGCGCGTCGCGAACGGTTTGGTCTCGGAATGCTCTGCGTTAAATCTCCAGGACATACGTCGAAGTCACGCTAGCTTTTGCAATAACCTTGCAGCTGCGTTTTTGTTTGCGCGCGCGTCGCCATCGTCGCCATTAAACGCGAGCGAAATACGGACGTCTGCATCTCGGGGCGCTTTCATCCCGCGCGCGATTAATTGCAATGATCGTTCCACCAATCGTCTGTAAACACGAGGAAGAGACGCGCTCGGGGTGACAGTCGCGCATTGTCCTGTATTCCGAAACTTTGGCCTTTTTTACCGCTGGGAAATTCAACGATCACACTTACACGAAGGACCTCGGAGAGAGAGAGAAAGGAGGACCCGCGTTCGCCCCGCGGGTGCTTTTACTTTGAAACGCGCGTGCCGTCTTTGCTTTTGTCTTCCGTCCAAAGTATTTACTTGGCTCTCACCCGTACGAACCATTATGTCCCTTCGCTCTGAATTGACACCCACTTCGTGCGCGGTTGCGGTCGCCGGATCTAACTAAAGTCCACCGGATCTCACGGCGGACATTCGGCAGCCGGAAAGCCGACAAGCTCGGTTGTACATCGCGGTTTGTCTCGTCGCGTCGCGTCGCGTCGCGTCGCTCGCTTCGTTTCTCCTGATCAGCGTGAACACACGCGCGCTCCGCAGCGCGTCGTTCTCTTATTTTCCGAGTGTCCCGCGGTAACCGGTAGCAACATTGTTTTTCTCTTGCTCTGTCCTTCCCGTTCTCCCCCCCTCCCCCTCCCCCTCCCTCCTCCCCTCCCTCTCTGTCCCTCCTCTCTCCCCCTCTCCTCCCCCCCTCCTCTCTCCCCGCCCCCCCCCCCCTTTCGCCATCTATCTGACGACTGGGCTTTTGGGCTTCCTTTTTCAATAGCCGGACACACCGAGGACCTTTTACCACGGACACGTAGGGGCCCCTCTTGTAATGACCGCAACGCTCCAATGCATTCGGCGTCCGTCCGTCCGGAGCTGCATAACCGGTGCAGCGCGGACGCGTAGGATGCATCTTGTCCGTTCCTCGTTTGCCGTGTCCCGCTAACGCTTCATTCTCGATGTTGCAGTTGGACGAAGTTTTTCAAGTATTGCAATTATCTGTATCAGCGGCAAAATCTCTCTCGCGCCGCATCCTCTCTCATCTATTGGCAAAAGATAAACGTGCGATAGGTGTACGTAGTTGTGATCAGGCTCGATGCGGTACCGCAGATCGTCAAGTCCATCGAACGTGGTGTAATTAATTGCAACAACTACGACAATTAATAAACCCTGCGAATTCGAATTGGTTATCTCCAGGTATAATATAATTATTTTGTCTTCTCCAGGGTGTATCGAGGGTGCGTCGAGAATAGAGACGATGGTTGATCTTGCATCGGTTGGTTTGAACGGAAATTCGTGAGTATTTGTCTCGATCCACCATCAGGCCGACTCTTTGGAAAGAATCGTCGTTTCTGCCGCACGCGGCCGATAATTCGTTGACACGAGCGGTAATCTCCCGAGAGATCGAGAATCATCTAGTCAAATACCGACGGGAGGAGCGCTAAATCAGGGAAAACCTAGGGACACTCGTGTCGTCGGGTCTCGGGGTTGCCGGAAGACAAATGTCAGCGGAACACGCGGGGAGCTTGGCGCTCTCTCGGCCTCTCTTGCGCGTAGACGCACGGTCTGCGGCGGTAAATCAAGGGTGGTGATATTAAAAGGCCGCTTATACGCGAAAACATAAGATTTATTTCTGCTGGAGAGGAATGCGCGCGCGAGAGAAGGAGCGGATAAAGGCGGTTCCTTCATCGAACGCGTACGACCATCGGACGAGGAGCGGAACGAGCAGGAAGGCCGGAGATGAGAGAGTTGGAAGGGGAGGGAGAGAGAGAAAGACGAATTATCCAAACGAATTTTTCTCGGCCCGTGCACACAAACACGCGAGTAGTAGGCAAACGGATAAACGAGAATCGTATCGGTGAGGCAAAGTGAGGCTACATTGGACATCTATGAAGGCGCGATCGCATCTCTTCAGTCGCGCATCGCTTAATACGCGTCAGCTGGGTCTTATATTGTGCGCGAACGATCGTGATATTTGTTGCGACCAATATATCGCAAAAGACATTTCTTCAACATCATCGAGATTGCGTACGCACGTCGTATGTGTCGTTTCACACGTACTAAAGAGATGAGAGAGAGAGAGAGAGAGAGAGAGAGAGAGAGAGAGAGAGAGAGAGAGAGAGAGAAAACACGTCGCTCTCACAGCGTTCCATTATATTAACGAATACGAAATCGATCTGTCGTATCGTTTCCTTCGACACATTTCCCTTTTTTGCGACAATATTATTATTATCCGGCACTATCGGATTGTATCCGTGTAATGCTTCATTTTCTTCACAAAGGCTGGCCCACTATCGCGCGACGCGCGGCCGTCTTGGTTGATTAAGGCCATCCAGAATGATGCTGTCACTAGGTTCGTTCGTGCATAGAACAGGATATTATGCATCGGTATCGAACAATAAGTCGCCGACCACAATGGCTCGGCTCGGCCGTTTTTCTTCGCCGTACGATCCGCCGTTCGGATCTTGTCGGGCGCGCTGTACCAACGCCTTCGTTAATTCTTTCGCTACCGAAGCCGAGTACAATTCACCATGACTGTCCTCTGTATGTTACGAGTAACTGTAGTTGCTCGAGTATAACCGACATTCCTGAGCTCGCCGAATTCGCACGTTCTTGCTCCTAGATTTCTTCTTATGTTTCCTCGCGAACAAGGATATTCCACGCTATCGATCGCTGTGAGCATAAGTCTCCTTTGTTCTCAGCTAATCTTTCATTTCAGGATTTTAGGACGAATCGTTAGTCGCGTTTCTATCGATCGGTTCTTCCCCCGGAACCCAGAAAGGACTACTTTTCCGTTTCGCGTCTCTTTGGAAAAGATAAAAAAATGGAAACTGCGGATGGGCGAATATCTCCGCGGTAGCGATAGCACCGTGTATTATAAATCAACAGCAGAAGTCGAGGAACTGTCGTTTAATTTCCCGTCGAAGATGTCGACGGTTACTCCCGCGCGTCGGACGCTTTCATGTCCGTCCGTGTGTTGGTGCTCTGCATCCCTACGTATGTCCGAAGGCAGGAAGGCCGCGCAAACCGAATCCTGTTTTCCTCCTCCATCTCCGCGATCTCCGGGGAGCAATAATCGTTGCGGGGCGGAAAAATTTCGCGACAGAAGTTAAACAAAGCCTCGAAGCAGAAATAAAAAAAGGAGGGACCGGGGGCGAGGCGCGGGAAAAGAGAGAAACGGAGGGACATAGAAACCCGGGGTTGTTCTCCCGGCTTCGACCGTAATAAGGGTGACCACCTCTCCCCCTTTGCGATTCCGTTCGCTCCTGCGGTGCGGCGTTCCTCTGTTCTCCTGTTTGAACAAGGCTCATAATTAATACGCGCATTCGCTTCTGGAAAACGCGTCCGGGGCGGGTTGGGGTGCGCGCGGAAGGGACATTTTTAAACTACGGCATCGGGGATAGTCGCCTTTCCGCGTCAAAGCTCGCGAGAGAACTCGCGAGGGCTGCGATGTATCTCCGATGTATCCTTCGTCCGGTATTGCGTTTTGAGGAGCGTATCCCGTTCCCGGGTCGGTCGGAAATGGTTTCCCGTTTTTGTTGAAGATACTCTCGCAGAGAACCATTGCGGAGGATTTCAAATTAACCGTAAAATTCGAGAGCGGGCTTTTTTCGCGATATTGCGATTCACGCTATTCTCGCGATCAGTTCCATTTTGACAATCTTTATCGCTGCATGAACGCGTGCAGTCAAAGAACGAGAGATTCGACTAGCTAGATTTTTCAATCAAAATTTCTAAACTTTTCGCCGCTCACATGCCGTAGCGGGCAAATTCGAAGAGATTTCCGTCTATTCCCGTGGTACAATCGCGTGACAGCGTACCTGGCTCGTTCCGCGAGAGATATCTGTCTTTAAGAGCATTATCTGGATGGTCGTCGGCTAAGGGGATGGCAAAAACCATCCGCCCCCTCGTGGTATGTGAAAAATGATGCACAACCCCGTCCCCTAAACATCACCTCCGCAAAGTCCCGAAGGAAACGTTCACCGTCGTCGTCGTCGTCGTTGTCGTCGTCGTCGTCGTCGTCGTCGTCGTCGTCGTCGTCGTCGTTGCCGTCTTTCTGGTTCGTGATTCGTAAGATCGTGTCACAGGCGAGTTCGCTTTATCGCGAACACTTGGCTTGTTTGCAGGCTACAGAGCTATTGGAATTTCTTAAACGTAACTAATTCGTAAACAATGCACGATTTGTACGATTGACCTATCTCGATGTGTTATTGTTTCTCGTAGTACTTTTAGGTATTTAACGCGTATGTGTTTATCTTTCGGTTTCAGTTATGCGGAGACACACTCGAGGACACCGCCATCAGGTATTCAGAATGCCTCGCTCCTGTGCGAGCACAAAGGCTTTCTGTACGCGCCCAGGATCAACAACGAATTGTAAGTACGCATTATATATATATATATATATATGTATTTTTTTATACTGAAAAATACCTTTCGAAAAAAAGCAGAAGCGAATGGAATTCGCACACGTGCGTCTTGATACGGCTAGACAGATCTGGCGAACGAAAGAAACTCGTATTTCTGCGAGAATAAAGTTAATCGCTCGAGGGATATACGCACGGAGGTAGTTCCTCGTGGTTTTCGGGAGGGGATTTTTCCTTGGCAGGAATTTCTCGAAGGACACTATATTATAAAGCGAAAGTGCGTGACCTCCTGGCACGCCTTTCTCTTCCTCTGCGTGCCCCTGCTCTCGTTCCTCTCTCGGCCCCCGTGACGTGATGGATACGCGAAAATGTCACTCGCACGCCCCCAGGGCTAACGCGCCATCCAACATCCCCCGACCATTATGCTAAAGCATTGTCCACTATCTGCCTAAGATAGCCGGCGGCTCAAGTCGTCCGCTTTTACTCCGTGTCTCGCGGCGAGACCGTTAAAAAATCATTTTTGCCATCTTCACCTTACGCACGACGGTGATCGCGTCACGTCTGTCGGGGATATCGACGGTCGTTTCCTCCCTACGACTTATCGCGTCTTTATATTATGGGAACCCGCGATAATTAGGGGATCGATAATCGAAATAGCCGCCAATTCGATTAGCCGTCTTATATCGGCCTTGTATTTTTCAACGATTCACGACATTTTGGCAATTTTATTCTGTCGCGCGGAAAAATGTACGATTGCACCGCATCGTTATTTGGATCGAAGATGCTGAAGCAAAAATACAGCGAAAGGCGAGAGATCCCGTTGAATATCGCGTAGCCCGCCTAGTATATATTTTTTCTGCGCCGGTCTCTCACCCCTCCTCTTCCTTTCATCGTCTCTCCGCGATGCACCCACCATTATTCGGGCGTTAGGCAAATACACAGGAGAGACGACAAGCTCGTCCGCGCGTTTTTGCCCCGTGAAAATTCAAATGAGACTGCGCGGCATATTGCGCTGAATCGAAATTAATGTCGCGCAACTAATTATCGGTCGAGTCATCATCGTTTCGTACCGCTCGGTCTCTCTCTCTCTCTCTCTGTCTCTCCTCCCCCTCCCTCCTGTTCTCCCTCTTCCGCTTTCGTATCGCGAATCGACCGTTGTATAACCGTCTGTCGTTCTACCGAGGGAGAAACGATCGAGCCAATTATCGTCGATCGCGCGCTACCGTCTTAATCGGGTTTGTCTGATCGATTATCGCGATATTGCGTACATTTATCTTTTTTTAGAAATACAGCTTTCACACACACATACACACACACACACACACACACACACACGAAAGCCGTTCATTATAGGAGTTAAATTTATGCCAAGAGCGAATAAGCGAATAATAACTGTTGAAAGGCTTGTGTTTACATATCACAGTTTATATGCAATCGGTGTTTATGATTCTTTGTTATGATTATTGATCGGCTACATATTTAATGTTCAATCGCAGCTAAGATAATTATATTCGTGGTGAATGTAGAATCGCGGTATTACCGCGATGATAGAAATTGCGTATATTAATGGCGCAATAGTTCGCGAAATATTATTGATTACATACTGACGCGAGATTTCCTCGCGATACGCGACTCAGGAACCATGCCAGGATCGAGCGAACAATTGCAAGGGCAAAAAGCTGGAGCCGTGGCACGGCAAGAAATTTCTAATTTGCGGTATAATTAAGGGAGGCGATGCAAAAAGCATTACGGATTCTACACCGTTGTCGGAAAATCGCAAATTCCATCTTGCAAATACGTCTCTCGTCCAATCGCGCTCAGGGAGGAGACGAGGGAGAAGAAGCGAGAGACAGAGGGGGAGAGAGAGAGAGAGAGAGAGAGAGAGAGAGAGAGAGGGGGAGAGAGAGAGAGAGAGAGAGAGAGAGAGAGAGAGGAGGAGTGTATCCTTTTTTGTGAATATTTCATAAATATCAACAGGAGGAGCTTTTACTGTGTGAGTTTGTCTCCTTGCCAGAGAATCGTATTAAGAGGTATTATTTAATTGTTACAGATACAGTATAGTAACGGCGGAGGAATGGTCGAAGCTCGCGCAATTCTACGAAGTCGACTATCCCATTACCATAAAGAAGACTGATGACGACTATCAAACGACTCCCCGTGAGTACAAATACTCTCATGACACAAAATCCAAACGATTTGAAGATTAATTCGAGTCGTTTACGGCGTTACGCGCTATTACGCAACATTTGTCCGCCTTACGTTTGTTTTTCATTCATCACTCCGTAATCATTTGTACCCATCGTATTAAGATGAGTGAAATTCTCAAAACAGGGACGCAAAAATCCCTATTCGCTAGAATCTTTCGTCTCTTTCTAAATATCCTTGGTCAACGCGGCTCACGTCATACGCGTAAATTATTGAAAATTATAGAGCATCGTATGAGCGCGATGACTCAACAGTAACTACGACTTAACAGTGCGCTGTTTCGCGCGTTTTTGCACCGAAATCGATTTGAGTTAAATTGAATTGAATTGAATCGAAAGACGTATAATATTACAGCGCGAATGTCGGATGCAGGAACGTGACGTCGGCACTTGGAGCGCGCGCGCGCATTATGATTATGTACAAGACACCTCGTCGAGAATGACTACGATACGAAAGTTACGCTCGGTGATCGCGTTCGGCGAAATATCTCAAACGGATAGAAAGGAACGAAACGCCGCGCGTGTGTGTCGCTGCCGCCTCGCCGCCCCGTGGGCTTCCTACTCCGCCTCTCTCTCAACCTAACCCAAGGAATAATGCCAGAAGACATTAGCCGCCGATTTACATAAATCCACCTCCTGTCCCCCGTCCTATCTTCTCAGTTGGCTTCTCTTCCAGGCCCCAAAGTGTCTCATTATAATTAAGAAGTATCCTGAAAATTAACTGGCAGAAAAAGCAACGCCACGTCGGGGATACGACGGAGAGGGAGGAGGATAGGACGAGACGAGCGCAAATGGCCTCCTCAAAAGTTTCTCACCCCTGTTTCGCGCAATGGCAGCCGTCTTCGGGCTGTTTGTTCTTTCGACATTTCCGTTGCCTCGTCGATTTCGTCGTATCAACAATTCACGGTCGCCGCCGCAGCACCGCACGAATTCAAGCGACATTCCTCGAATGTCCCTTAACTTCTCACTGTATAATAATTTCGCGTCCGGTCGGTCGTTGGACAGATACGAATAGCTCGATCGATGAATCAAACGACCTCATCGTTAGCTCGATGACGCGCGACTCGGCGAGTCGAACGGATTTGCCAGTACCTCCGAAGCGGGATTAAAATTCATCCGTACCCCGGCACGTGTCGCGGCGCTTCCTCGGGACGAGGGCGATCCTTGTCGGCCGTCCGGCAGGCAAATTGGGTCCCGACGGTGGCACCGTCGGGGGGACCGTTGACGCGAGAACGGCTACGATGTTTACGTCCTGCCTCGTGCTAGCCGCTGTCTCGAGCCGGCGTTTATCGTGAGCACGAGCACCCAGACCTCTAAACATCCCATTGTCTTGTCCGTCTCTCGATCGCGAGTGCACCACCTCTTTTTTTACGGGGGCATTTGTCAAGCCGCTCCTCCGATTCTCCGGAACGACGACGAGGAGCTACGAGGAGGCCGCCGCCGCGCCGGGGGGGCGGCCGACGACGGCATCTGAATTGCAAAGACCTCGCCTCTCGTTGACGGCGAATCGGATAGCCGGTATCATCGTCAGCGGAATACCGTCGGGACGCCGCTGGAGATAGAGATGTTTAGCGTTAATTCGGCGATCTTTACCGCAGATACGCGAAACTCATGTAAACGCAGCGTTAAATGCGACGTCGAATGCTCGGTGCAAATGAGAAACGAGAATCGCACGTGCGAAGTTTCACCGGGAGCCAAAGCGGCGGTCTTCTCATTTGATGCGCTCAACGGGTAATCCACACACACACACACACACACACACACACACACACACACACACACGCACGCATATAGAGAGTGCCTGGGCGAAAACGTGTCCCGTCGCGCTTGTTTGCCAGAATACAGTAAAGAGGAGAAACGGGCCGAACTCGCAGCGGACAAACGGGCGATTTAGCTTATTTTGAGGGCGCGTCTTGCGGGTTCGGCGCGAAAGGGAGAACAGCGGATTGCTAGACGCAAAAAATAGGGGGTTGCTTTCGGTGACTGATACGGCCCTGACTAACGAGTCCTAGCCGGACGATCGTGCTACTCTTAAAGCCTCCAAGGATCCCCTTTTCTCGCTCCTCTGTCTCTCTCCCTGCCTTCCTCCGTCTCCCTCGGTCGTGAAGGCACATTAGGCACCGTCCAACCTCGTATCAATCACCCGGCTACTCCCGATACCCCCGTCTCGCAGAGGCTGGCTCCTCTCGCTAGCCCGCCAGTTGACAGAACCGGAGGTGACGCGATTGAATAGCACCCTCCGCGTCTCGTTTGCGCCGGGGCGCGGCTCGATGACGGCTCGCGCTGGAAAATCCAAGCGGAGGGTAAGAAGAAACGCGCGCGGCGGAGGCCGATCGGCTCACTTAACGTGAGACGTCTTACTCGACGATTACGGGTTCTCACGAGAAGAAGAGAGAGAGAGAGAGAGAGAGGGGGGGGGAGAGCGAGAGAGAGAGAGAGAGAGAGGAGAGGCGGGAGAGCCGGCTGAAATCCGCCTGCAGGCTCTCTTGGCTGGAGCGAGAGAGCCGGGCGAGAGATCTCTCGGGTGTTACGCGCTAATTAACGTGTAATCGAAGAGCTCGACGACGCGATTCGTCGATGAGATAATCTTCAACGCGTAATCGCATTCGAGGTGGATGATGCTGTTCGATCGCTCGACTAGCCTTGCTCTCATGCTCCGGGTGTTCTCCTCGTCCGAGAATTGGAAGAACGACGTCCCGTGTACGTAGTATACCGGCTTCCAATCCGACCGGTAAAATAGACTTCCGTGTTGCTCGAAAGAAGCTATTACCGCGCGGCTTTCGCAGCGGCGTGTTCGATTAATAAGAGATAGCCGCGCGGAGCCGTTGGGAACGCGCGATTCAGTCCGCCCGAGTCGGTTCGAGAGTCGGAATCAATCAGGGGACGGGATTTCTCCGGCGGTTGTGTGCTGCGTATCGACAATTAAATCGCGTTGGGCGCGTTATTATATCTTCCGGCAGGCCAGCTTATAGGCCAGACCGAAGCCTGATTCCAGAAACGTAGCCGCTCTCGCCTCGCGCTGTTTCGTTTCTGCGAACGTCGCTCGTAAATATCGCTTAGGCGCCAGACGGTGCCACAAATCAGGCGTGTCGGTGGTGTAGGTACGGCACTGGCTGTATCGCAAAACCGATGAGGAACGAGTGAGCGAGACCAAGAAAACCGTGTGCTTGGGACAGATAGACGGACGAACGGCGGGCGCAGGGACCGCGCGGTGTGGCGCAGGCGGGCGAGGGGGCCTCGGCCTCGAATTAATATTCGGACGGCGATTTAGATTTAGAACACGAATTTGCTGATTAGTTCCCTCCCTGAGAATGCGGTCGCCTACGTTGCAGCAGCGACCGCGTCCTTCCATAAACGTACGGCCGAAACGTACAAGGGCCGCCGCGACGGGAGCGACGGGAGCGACGGGGGTGGAACCTGGAGAGATTCGAGATTTAGTTTCCTGAGGGGGTTGAACTTACCAGGGGTCAAACGATTCAGGAGAGACATTTGTTAGCCCTCTGTCCCCACCCTGCGACACAAGTGCGCCGGACACGTCTTATAATATATACATCCGTTGACCAATGAACATGCCCTTACGAGTGTTCGCCGCGCCGCGCGCGCTGCTGCGGCCAAAGTCGTTGCAGCGAGACGAGCGGATGCACACCGCGGCCGACTTGCGGCCGAAAGTTTGTCGCTGAAAAACTCCGAGGTCCCGAAACGCGCCGTCGACGCGTCGACGCGTCGACGCGCGAGGCTCGACAGACGGGACTTTATTTCACCTGGTGGTCGCGGAGTAGCCGATCGTACTGCCAATACCTGTTTGCCTGTTTGATTTCATTAAGAAGAAACAAAAAATAATCCCCACACTCGGCTAGAAACTCTGATGGCCGGTGTTAGCCAAACGGCTAATATTTTGCTTTCTTGGCTAACACATCTGGCTAATCGATCACTTAGCTCTCGCTCAAATTACGCGGGTAATTTCCCCCCGAGGGAAGATCGAAAATTCATTTACGGCCAGCGCGACGATTGCGTGCGCGCTTCTTTCCTCCGTGTAACGGCCAATATACAGATAAAGGGGCAGGCTTAGCGAAAACATTAGCGTGCAGTGAAAACGGGAAAAAAGCAGCGCTTTCACGTAATCGCGCAGGAAACGAGCACGGTCGGGGCAGGACAAATTTCAGCAGGGACGAATTAGCGCATCCTGCTAGGTCTCCGGGAGAGCGCGCGCGCTCTCTCCCTCGCCGCTTCTGTTATCCCGAAGGAGATCCCCACTTGTCCGTGGGCTACGGGGGGTCCTTTTCCTCCAGGATTAAATGGAGCGCCTAGATGACCGATGCTCCGTCGTCCTTCGCTAGCGGAGTGTGGCGGGTGAGGCGTGGCTGGCGGGTGGCGGAGGGAACGTAGGTTCGGGCGGAAAACAAGATAAAACAAGGATAAAGCTCGCTCCCGGATCCCCTCTTCCAACAACGCCGGGACGCGTCTTCCGATCCTGTCAGAAGGAGACCCTCGATAATCTAGAGGTGTCTAATCGTCTATATCGTTTGATTTAAACCACCACGCTCGAGCTCGCTTTCCCGCGTCAGTCGGCTAAAGTTGAAGAACATCGCGAAAGACATTTGTATTTTCTCGTAAATATATTTATGTTATATTAAAATTATGCTATTATATATAATTATACATATTTTAATTATATCATTCATTAACGTGTTTTATCTCATATAAAAGCTCGGGAAGCTCGAGCTCGTCGCTTATGATATTTCGTCGTGGCTGATATTTTGTGCCGTTGCCATTTCGAAGCCGCCGATCGCGCGAAGAAGGAGAAGCGAAACGTCTTATGTCGTTTAATTAACGAATTCGCGAACACTCATTTGCGAGGGTCGAGTTACGAAAGGTGCAGGCAGGGTAGCTCTTTCTCTCTCTCTCTCTCTCTCTCTCTCTCTCTCTCTCTCTCTCTCTCTCTCTCTCTCGCGATTTCCGCGAGTCGCAGAGTGACAATCGTATTTTGCGAATTTCGGAGGAGACGCGCGTAATACCGTCGAGTGGCCCGATTACACGAAGCGCGCCACCCTCGCAACCGACTCGGTGTCATCCTGTTGTAAGAGGATTAGATTTCGACTTTGTTGTGGCTCCCGAAGACGTTCGTTAGCGAAATCATTATTATGACGGCGATCTTCCTCGGCGGTACTGCACGAGCGGTAACTCGTGCGCTCGGCGCGTTCGCCGAGCTGTGTTCGAAAGATTCGTCGATTCCAGCTGCCGATTACCTATCGACGGTGACTGTTGGCGAGAAGACCGAGCCGAAAAATTAGAAGAGAAAAAGAAGCGAGGGTGTACACATTTAAAGGGGAATTAATTAATTTAGAGAAATATAATTTAATTTAGAGAAATAAAATTACGTAGGAGAAAGAGGAAATTGCGCAGCGCGTTGTTATTTGTCTGCATCGCCGACCGCAAGGATTTAATTTGGTAATGCAGTTGACAAAATAAGAAGTCATTATTTACTTTACGAGGGGCGCACGATCGTCTCTCCCTTCTCTCTCGCGGAAACTCCAAAGAATTCAAAACATATTTGAGTAAGGGTGGACGGCTCTCTCTCTCTCTCTCTCTCTCTCTCTCTCTCTCTCTCTCTCTCTCTCTCTCTCTCTCTCTCTCTCTCTCTCTCTCTCTCTCTCTCTCTCTCTCTCTCTCTCTCTCTCTCTCTCTCTCTCTCTCTCTCTCTCTCTCTCTCTCTCTCTCTCTCTCTCTCTCTCTCTCTCTCTCTCTCTCTTTTGCCGTCGAGTCACGACGGTTGGGGGAACATCAATCTTTCATTCACGGGGTGACTCGGGAGTTATGAATGAAAGTCGCTCAGCCCTTTTAATAAAATAGCGAAACTGCTGTCTTTCCGCTTAACGTGCTTTCGATTTTGATCGAGGAGCTTTCTTCGGTTTTCTTCGTGTAATCTTCCGCTTCGGCTTGAGATGTAATCGTGCTGGGATCATTTCATTTGCATTCATTGTGAAGAGCTTCTTTTTGTCTCTCCGAGTCAGCTTCAGCGTTCAGTTCTGGTCGGTAAACCTGACAGATAAATTACTTAATTCAGTCGTACAAAAATCCCGAAGGGATTTGTATCCCTCGACAACGATTCGTATCAATATCTCGCTTCGAATTAAGCTATCGTTCCACTTTCGTCTACGATTACTTTCTATCCGTCTTCTAATCATTCGCTCTAAAGGACGTTGCCCTGTCTCAATTCGAGACTCATTTCGACGTGCCTGCAATCACCAGGTAATTGCTTTTCTTGATCGATGACCATCGATCGGGGGGCAAAGCGTGATTAGAACGGTGATTGGTTGGCAGGACATCTCGTTCGACTCGTCAATGTCGAAAGAAAAACACGCGTACGCGTGTGATAATTTCTCGACGAGGTTATCACTTTCAGATAATTACAAAGTTGCGTACTGCTATCATAATCAGCCACACTGAAGGAGAAAAAATTAATAAAGAGTTCGAGGGAAATAATAATTACACTCTATAATAATCGCGTTCTATGTTATTTGCTTCTATGTTATATCAAGGGTGGAATGTGTAACTAACCGTACAATTTGCGCAGGTCGAACGTGGACGTTATTAAAACTTTTATCTTGCGGAATCCCGAGTGGTCTCGGTACGTGTCGTTTAAGCGATCCGAATAAAGTCCGCGGGAATCTGAGTCTTCGCAAGCTGAAACTTCTCGCCTCGATAACGTGCAAGTTTCTACTTTGTCTCGGCGCTCGTTTATGGTTTGATTGCCCTTCGATGGCACTTTAGGGAAATACACTAGAGCTCTCCTGCGTTGTCCTTTAGTCTTATTTACACGCCGGCTCTTGGAGAAGCTATTGTGTATTATTTGCCAATAAAACCAACTCACGCTGTTTCTTCATTGGAACATTCGGAAGAAGTCCTGTCGTACCTCTCTGCGCGACTTAACTTTACGTGTCAACCTGTAATTGCCATCTTAATGCGCGAGTTGCAATCTGAATCTCGCAACCTCGCTAAAACCTGTCGATCTTGAATTATCGGACAACACTTTTTATCATAATGATACTTTCACAATTATGCTGGTCTCTCATCATAATTATTTTAATAGATCGAGAATAATGAGTAACGTCTCGTTAATGTCGCGAGAGTGATTCCGAGATCAGCTGAGAGATGTCGCAAACGGTATTTGAGAGGTGAAATTACGCGAACTGAATAAGAATCTCCGATCCTTCTTCAGCGGAGTCTTCGGCGGAGTCTCGGGGTCGCCTTGAAAAGTGCGGCTCGCATTCCTGCGATAACGGGTATCGGTCTGTTTGTAGCACGTCGGAAGAGATTTGCATTCGCGACCCTACGACTCTCTCATTAGCTTAAGCTTCTCGTATTTCCGATTAAACTCGATAGCAAACGATCCTATCGCGCTGAATGTCCCCGCGCGCTGGCGGGTAATTAGGAATCCGAAGGGAGGAGGACCTTCGAATTCATTTGGCGTGCGGGTCCTTCCGCGTCCTATCCTTCGTTACCGCTACGGGAAATTAGCTCACCGAACGGACGTTCGTCGCTCTCTCGATCCACCTTGCTCCATGTGACCACCTCTCTCGCGCGTACGTACGCGCGCGCGACGATCAACGTTTATTCTTCTAGTTCGCGATCGCCGCGAGAAGGCGAACAGCGAATTACGCGTCCCGCGCTAAATCTCTTCGACTCGTTAGCGGGCAAATAGCTTCTTACGCCGTTCTCTTATTGGCTCCTACGAGCCGGTAATTAGCGCTACGCGGGGCAGGACGAATTCGAATTCAGCCGGGGTCACGATCCCGCCTGCCCCCGCGCGCCCCCGCCCTTCCTCGGCCGCTGGAAAACTGTCTGAACATGACGTAACGCTCGGAGAGTCGCTCGGATACGAGCTTTGGCTCCGGACCGACCGGCCGAAGCGCTTTTTGTGCTGTCCGGCCAGCAACAATGGCCGCTTCTTACACACCGCCCTGGTCACCGTATATTATTAATTACTGTATTAATCTCACCGGCCGTAAGCAATCTATTATACATGGGATAAGAGCCACCACCCCGACATCGCCGCGCGCCACCCACTCACCCACGCACCCTCCAACTCGACTTTCTAACTGCCCGCCGTCCCCCGGTCCTCTCGAGGGCTCGCCGGGACCAACGAAATCTGACCCTCGAGGGTGTTAATAGTGGCGTCCGACGTCGCGTCTGCTTAACGCGTCAGACTTAAGTTTCCGCATCGTTGCATCGAAGATCGTAGTCTCTTGCAACCGACGGGATACATCGGTAACCTGGTAGCCTGGTTAAATAACTTTTTGTTACCTTCCCTTATTGTTCTTTTAATGTTGATCAGCTCGAAGTCGACAACAAGTGACATGAAAATGTTTTTCTTGTATCGTTTAAGTTCCGTGCGCAGCCTGCATGTTGGCGAGGGTTGAACAGGAGCGGCTGGAGAGCTTGAAGTACGATCGTGCGACGATCTACATCAAGTGTATCGACGATAGCGAGGAGTCTAAATCAGAAAGCAATTCCGAGGTATGGGAAAGTTATTTTGTTCTATTATTAGGTCCACGTGTACACTGTCATCCCCTATTGCCAAGTCCGCTCTAACATGTTAATATCTGCGTCGAGTGCACGAAGTTTTACGCGCGCGCGCGCGCGCGCGCGCGTGCGAAAGGACAAATATCGTGATTCGTCAACGTATCATTATCGCGATGTGACGTTGATTTTCTTTTGCATTCGGTATTCGGTGGAAATTAAAAGTCCTACGTTGTGTCTACGCGTGCGTGAGTCGTGTTGGTTCGTTCAGACGAACTAGGAAATTTTGTTAATGGGTTGACCTGCCGAGTCATCAAGTGTCTTGGAAGCGCGGTCGTCTTTTCAGATCGACGCTAACCGATAACGGGGAATTGAGATGCCATCTCATGCATTTCACAATATAATAAGTATTATTACGTCTGCTCGAAGTGACCTTAAGAGAGAGTTGCCTGCTTCCTTTTACGTGGCTCGCTTCTGATTCATGCTAAATTAGGAGTAATTTTGTACAACCGCGCAATTATGTCTTTCTTTTTCAAGTCGAGCGTTGAGAATTTTATGTCGTGGAATAATATCCAATGTATAATGAAGTGACCATTTTTAACGTATTTTAATGGTTAAATGCGTTTGTTGAACCCTTTTGGTGCATTATTCAAAAGGTGCGTCTTGCATTTTTATATATCACGTCTCTATTTAAATTTTACAGTATTTACTTATATTAAATGAAAATATTTTCTGCCTCTCTTGAAAAAATAAATAAATAAATAAATATTTTTTTTTATTAATTTACTTTATAAGAAAATAATCTATCGTTACAAATCTGTTTCTACGATAATAATAATTTGTTTGTTCACACGCACTTGTTTATTCACAATCCAACGTTCCGCGTATTTGTCGGCAGGTAGCGGCAAAGAGGCCAAAGATGGAGAACGTACGGCCCTCACGAACCAGAAGAAAATTAAAAGGCTCGCACGAGCTCAAAGTGTCATCCGAGATCACCTTGAAAGAACTCAAAGTGATGGTAAGTGTTGTTTTCACGCAGAACTTTCACACTATTCGTATAACGTATGACGATCCTCGACACCTCCGACGACACTCCGACGACGTCTCGCACGAAAAGAGAGGTGCAAAGTTTATCAGCAGATATATTTATTTTGATACGCGAGATTACAAACTCTGGATAAATGTCAAAACTTGGTTATATTCCGGTAGAAAAAGAAAAAGGAAGGAAAAACATTGGTCGAGATATGAAAGAGAAAAGTCGCTAGGAAACGTCACATTGCGAGAAGTCGGTCGGAAGATGTCGATATCTTGATCTCTCTCGCGCTTCGGCCACCTGCCGAAAGCGGCCGGGATAATCAATCAATTTGCGGCGCGCAAGTATTTTACGGCGTGCTCTTATTGTCGGGGCCGAAATGGGAAGAGCCGCGCGTTCGGCCCACGATCGCTAGCCGAGCTACCCTCTCGGCGCGCTACATACACGGAGATACAACGCGGCGTTCGGTTCGTTCTTCGTTCTCCGCCGACTCTCTCGGGTGGACGAAAGTAGTAAAGGCGTAGTTATGGCTGGTTAGCATATGCTCGGGCCCCGGCAGTGTGCTTAAACTATTAAGCGTATTTATATTGCGAGGCCGTAGCCATCTCCTCCTCCGCCTCCTCCCGCCCCCTTCTCTCTGCGGCGGGGCCACTGGCAAAAACCCGAAAGAGCATAAACCTCGCGCTAATAACAGGTCTCCAACTTCTCCACTCCACTCCACTTCACTCCACTTCGCTCCACTCAACCTTCCATTTGACTCTTTCTCCCTGCTCCGTCTCTCTTCGTGCCGCGTATTTTTCTCTCGCGCTCACCCACCCTCCCACTATCTGTCTCTACCGTGGCTCTCCTTCGGGCTCGAATTTTTGTCCGCGCCTCCTTCACCCCGCGGAACACACGTCCCTTTTTAATACCCGCCCGCGAGAGAGGCTGTCGGCGTCAATGGAAATACGAGACTCACAGTCTCTTCGTCTCTCTCATTCACCACTGTCCTCTCTTGCCCCCTTTTTATCTCCTACGATGCTGCGTCTATCGCTCGATTTCGTCGTCTGTTCGCCGTTTGAACATCAAAATCGGAGGAACGTGGCGCGACCGTCGGATCGCGGCGAAGAGAGAGAGAGAGAGAGAGAGAGAGAGAGAGAGAGAGAGAGAGAGAGAGAGAGAGAGAAAGAGCGTTCCAACGCGTGCAAAAATTATTCGAATCCTGTCGCCCGGGATTACTTTCCACCAATAATACACAAACGCGATGCGTCGTGTGATCGGCACGTGACGACGAAGCGCGAACTTGGGAAATCGCGCGATAACTGTTCGCAATGATGAAAAACGCGCAAAAGATATCTTCTTTTTTATTTTTCCCCATCGGAAAATGCCGCGGCGCGGCACGTTGCGGCGTCACGGTTTCAAGGGTGTCACTGTTCGCGGATTGGTTCGCGGATTGACAAAAATGCGAGCGAGTCATGCCGCGCGCGCTCGTTGCTTTTTGCCGCGGCGCAAAAAGGCCGCCGATAAAAATGTTTGAATTTCATGGTCGAATGCAGTTATGTCGCGAGCTAGCGGGCAAGCAAATCGGGACAATAGCGCGCCGCTGATCTTCGCCGAGCGCGGCCGGCTTTACGTAATCGCGGTGTAACGCCTAGCGGCCGACCGCCTGTAAATATTACTTTCTAGCACATTCCGTGTCACCAGTCCCATTTTTTCGCGCGGCACCGCCGTACCGCTCGATCGCCTTTCTTACTCTCATTGCCCGCGCCCGCGCCCGCTCGCGGCGCGGACGCAATGGCATCGGCGAAAAAACGCCCGTCCACGCCGGATAGCTCGTTCGCGGGGAAATTACGGCTGTAAAAACGCGGCCGCACGGCCGCGCCGGATTTTTCACGGATAAATTGGAAAGTAAATCGCGGAGCGCCGTCGAAGAAGTCGCGCGCTCGCTCCCGCTCGTCCCCGAGAAAATCCCGCTACCATGCGCGATCGCGCGATATATATTTATGATAATACGTCTGTCGACGCGCACCTGTCTGTCTCTCGTCCTACCTCCGATGAGCGATGCGGTGGCTGCAGCCGAGTTTCCTAAGGATCAAAGGTTCCTCGAGCTTTCTCTCTCTCTCTGTCTCTCTCTCTCTCTCTCTCTCTCTCTCTCTCTCTCTCTCTCTCTCTCTCTCTCTCTCTCTCGGGATAATTTGGCCTCCCGCCACTGCTTCGCAACCTTGTTAAACCCACCTCTATTTATCGCGCGCTCGTTGGGCGCCTTCCTTTAACGAGGAAGCCTCGAGGTTCTTTGACCCTGACCGTGCTTCTTCTTGTTCGCCGCGGCTTCGTTTTCTTCCCTCTTGTATGAAGTACTGCAAACACTCGCGCGCGATACACGCCACCGCGGATTGTCCCGGCGGATTGACCGAGCCGACCGTCGTCACCGTGGAAGATGAGAAGCGGAGCGAAATCGATCTATGCGCGTCTGTATCTATATCGTTTCCGTCGGTCACTGCATAATTTAGCGCTAGAAGAGAGAAGGAGAGAGAGAGAGAGAGGGGGGGGAGGGGGGAGGCAGAGAAAAGGCAGAAAACACGCGCTACACGCCCAGGCGCTTCTTCTTCATCCGCACAATGTGAGCGCAATCGCGCGTGTGCTCATAATCGTGTTCTTACACACGGTGTCCTCCGTCCCTTGTTCGCTTTCCGGCGCCTTCCTTCTCGCGATCCCTTTCCTCCTTCCAGCCCCGACTCCCCAGCTTGGCTCGCCTCACCTCGGCTCCGGGGATCGTAAAACAGAAAAGCGAGCTACGCGCGCCGAGCTCTCGCACCGCTGCCGAGGACGAGGAGGTTATCCCTTCCGCGCAACGCCGCGCGGGTACCGCAAATTAAGCAATTACCGAGACTCATGCTCGTCGCGCGCACATTCTACTTCTAGAATGTCAAACAGCGACCCGCTCACCCCTCGCTACCGTTCGCTACCACGGTTTTTTCCACGGCGCGGCCGCGTGGACCTCGCAGCCACGCGGAACTTTGCAAGCACGCGCTCTCGTAAACACCAGCGAATTTCATTTTCGGATAAGTCTCCTGTTCGCGTCGATTTTATTACGCCACGTGGGGGCGAGATTGACGTCGACGAATCCATGAGGATCTTCGTCGATTAACGTTCAACTATCGGCGCACAATATTAGAGATTTTCTTTTCTTTTTCTTATTTTTACTTTACAGACGATGCAGATTTGCGGGGCCGGGCCGTACGACCAACACATAATGCTGGGAGAACACGAGCTGACGGATCATAGTCAGAGCTTGGCCGCACTCGGAATATTTCCCGGAGCGCTCCTCACGTTGAAGGTAAGCCTCGATTAAAGTGTTATTTTATAGCGCGCGCGAGCGCACACGGGAACGAAGAAAAACCGAGACGTTCGCGGTGGCGGCGGCGGCGGCGGCGGCAACGTCTTAATCGTCGATTACAATGATACGTTTGTTCCACCCGAGCGGCGGACAGAGACAAACAGACGCAATTTAGATTTGAGATCTGGCCACTGTTTCCCTTAAGTTCGAGACAATGGATAAGTAACCGGGACCGGCAATGGCCGCAGATAACGGGACCAAGAGCGACGTTTCCGCGCTGGGATTAGCCGAAAATACCTTATTTGAGATTAGAGGTGTTAATTGTACCCTTCCTAGGCGGAGCGGGAGAAAGTGGAGTCGCGGAAACGGCGCGGTTTCAGGCCGCGGGGAAAAGCTCGCGTCTCGGCGTCCAGCGTCGCTGGTTTCGCCGACGTAAAGGCGAGCGGACGAATTGCTCGAAATTTACGCTTCCGCGGCAAACGCGACACGCGCCCGCCGTGCCATGCGTGCCGCTAGCGTGTAGTTGCGAGCGATTTACTCTTATAGTCGAGATCAAATCGATCAAACTGACACGTTACTTTTACTGGCAATTTTACTGGTGGCCGATGACGCGAGCGGGCGGCCGCATGAATTCGCGCGTCGCGGAAAACATGCGCCCATTGCGTTCGCTTCCGGCGCGGAACGCAGTCCAACCCTTTCGCGGCTTTTTGCCGGGAGCGGCGCGTCTCGGGCGCGAGGGAAAAATTTCGTCCGCCCGCTCGGTATACTCTCCCGTTCGGCGGAATAATTTCAGGATTCCGACACATTCCTCGGTTCACAGTCGACTGGTTTTATGAAAGCAGCCAGTCCAGCAGCTAAGTCCGCGAGCGAGTTTCCGTGGCAGAGACAGAGTCTCAAAACCGTTACACCGAGAGAGTCGGTTCGTGCTATCCTATTGCTCTCTGTTCGGATGGAATAAAGAGTGAAAGAGTGGAGACAAGGGAGAGAGAGACGGACAGAGAGAGAGAGAGAGAGAGAGAGAGAGAGAGAGAGAGAGAGAGAGAGAGAGAGAGAGAGAGAGAGAGAGAGAGAGAGAGAGAGAGACGTGGCCTCCGCTGGACTGGTTCACTGGCTGCGGTTGCACTAGCTGCGAATTCTAATTGCTATCTTGCCTCCGAGAATCCAGTTTAGCTGGCAACGTTTCTACCGATTGAAACGCTCCGATGGGTTTTGCGGTTTGCAGAAAAATTCCTTCCTGCATCTCATTCGTGAGCGTCGGTTTCTGCCGGCGTGACGAATCTCTACACGAGAAATGGCCTGTCGTCCCGTCTACGCGATCTACGTGATTTAAATCGACGACAATGAGAATATCTCACGTGACATTGTCTCTGCGCGTTTCGTCCTCGCGCAAGACTTGACCGTCTATTTTTTCTTTTCTCCCTTTTTTTTTTTTTTTTTTCTTTTTGTCAACGTTGCAGTCGTGCGGCAGGATTCTCTACAACCGCCGGCCGCTACGGCAGTCACGGGACAGTCACGAACTATCGATGGAACCTCGTGGAAACATAATGACGGTGATAAATCCTTTCGAGAAACGTATAGTCGCTTTTAACTATCGTAACCATAACGCGACTGAAAAGTACATAACGGGCGGCTAATTATTTGCACGGTTATGCGAATAACCGTGGTCCGGCGGTCGATGTGCAAGAAAGCACCGTCCGAGATTGTTTCGCGAAATCCTCCGTCGTAAAATCCGCTCGTTCGTCGGACGACGAACTTAATACGACTCAAAAGCGTAATGTATAATCGCGCGAAATGGCGAGCGGAAGGGTGGGAGAGGGCGGGAGTCGAGATACCGATCGACCGGAAGTACGCGCAGCGATCTCTCTGCGATGTGAAAGGAACAGAATCCTGAAAGGAGCAGGACCGTTCGAGCGCTCGTGAATATACGTACATTCAAGGTAACGTATGCGCGCGAGGATTAATTTCGCCGGAGTTTTCGATCGAGCGAGATCCGGCCGCCGCGCGCGGCGGCGGCGGTTTCTTCGCGCGACACGCTCAGATTGTTCGAGTCTTCTGCTGCCGCCAAGATCACGCTCGGGCCCAGCATCCGTTTGCGCGCATCGCGATATCGGACGGTGTCGGAATCGTCAAGATATATTCTATCCGCGGCGGATAGAGCGGATTAAAGCGTTTCAGGCAAGGTTAGTCCTTGATTTTGCTACCGGTCCAGTATCGTGGCACGCACAATGATCAGGATGACTTGCGACGTAGATCGGTGATCGAGTGTCTCGCGGAGATATCAGCTACCGCTCCGTCATCGTCCGTGCAATAATTCAAGGTCGTCGGTACAAAGTTAATATATCTTGCTACGTACAGTAGCGGACAAAAATTTCAGCCGACAATAATCGCTAATAGGAGTGAATTGCTTTTGTAAGTGTGTGGAGGAAATTAATGCTGCGGTTTGCATTAGTACGTATATTGTGCAACGCGTAGTTACATTTTACCAAAAAATATGCAACAATGTCGGTCTTGTTTTATGAGTCAAATAAAAGAAAAGAAAAGTTATCTTATCGGTTGATAGACGATAGTTTTTATTGAAAATCGCAGAAGCCGATATTGAGAAATTTATATTTTGCTCGATAACCCCTTTATGTTTTGAATATTTCAACACATTTCTTTGACGTCAAGTCTATCAATTTAATGGTTCACTGCTCCACTCTGATAACATTTCATGCTATTTCCATTATAGATCCCCGAGCTTTTTCGCCTTTAGCTGTTTTAATTTACGTTTCATGATATATATTCCACAAGTTCTCAATTAGATCAAGATTAAATGACTGGCACGGCTATGATGACAGAGTGCCGTTTTCTTCTGCTAAAATGTGTCTTATATTCTTTGCTGTATACTTTGAGTCATTATCCTGTTGGAAAATGAGATTATTTCCGAAGCAGCTACGGGCATAAAGCAGCATCGTGGTTTTCTAATGTCTTTGAACTGAACACTGAAATTCATTTATAATTCCGTCAATTTGTTGTAATTTTGAGAAAAAGATACCCGCATGGTAACATTTTCACCGCCATATTTGACGGTTGGGTCTTGGGCCCAAATCTTCGCCTTTGCAACGTATAACATATCTTGTCCGATGACTGACGATTGAATGTTCATTCGTCGGGAAATATTACTTTTCCCCACTTTTCATGATGTCTCCAATGCTTGTCAGTTTCAACGAAGACAATTCGCAATTCTCAATCTCTCATCGCAAGCTTTTTCCGCGCAAACTTTTGAACATGCGTTTTAAGTTTGGAATGAATTTCTACGTCAATTCTTCGAATATCAAGTTCTTTTTGCCTTAAGTAATGAATTTTTCGATCCATTTTTATAACAGTTTTTATAACAGTCGTCTTATCAGTTGATCGTAGTACGAATCAGTCTTCTGAAATTTGTATGTTGCCTACAAGCCGTTTCTGATCGATTTGCAGTGTTTGCCATCTTTGAAAACAAGATTTTCTCTTCTTCCTTAACGTTCCTACGAATTCTCTTTCCTTTGAACTTAAATTCCGATCTTTACCTTCATATTGTTATATTTAATAGATATATAGTAATAAGAGAAATAAGAGAGAGAGTGACAGGGAACATATTAGCAATATCTTTATACCGAATGCAAGAAGAACAAATAATGTTCATTTTTAGAGATTATTGTTTGCCTCTCAGACAGCTCAGACAAATATGTACATAAACATTTTAGAGGAAAAGGAACATACTATCCGCATGCATTTAGAATTCAGAAAATAGACGTCTTAAATTTATGTCCGCTACTGTATCTACATTATATCACTACCTTCTTTTTTTTCTTCGCCGATCCGGTCGACCGAAGGAGATCAACGACATTACGTCGCGCGAGGTCGATCGTCTTTCTCTTTTCTTTTATGTCACTTTCGTTCCCTACCGCTCCTCCTTTCCACCGCCGTCCAATTTGTTTGTGCGCTTTTATGAGCGCGTTACACGTCATGATTAATCGATCTTTCTCCGTCGCAAATGGATCGGCGAAATAGTTGCACGTTGCAGCCAGTTTATAGTCCGTGTGTATTAAAGGTCCCCGCACGACTTTCGAGGCTCGACCGCGCGAATCGCCGCGCGGCCTCGGAGCAAACGTGCGAAATGCGTTTTTGGCGAAAGCGCTCCGCGTTTCTCGTTTAAGTCGCGATCGTGGCTGTTGTCGTGAATCAAGGGGACTCGGCGGTTGTGTTGTCAGATGATACCCTCATCTTGCCTCGTCGAAATTAAAACGAACGTCATAATTATTGACAAATCGAGGACAAGGACGGTAAAGGCGAGATAAAGAATAGCAACAAAGTTGTGCACAATGTCGGACGGGGGCTAGGCTGTTTTTGATCCATCCTTAATTTTTCCCGATTTTTTTGCAATTCCTCCCGAGACTGCTCTTCATGGCTGATCGACCGGAGTCTTTAGAGTCGGTCGGTCGAGAGTCTCCAACGGGCGGCACCCGCGTTTGATGTCGTGTGACGAATGTCCGCGTTGGACGCGCTCACCCTCCTCCTCCTCTCCGTCTTCCCTCCCCGCCCTTCACCCCCGTGTTTCTATGCTCCTCTTTCTTTCCCGTGCCCGTTTCGCTCTCATATCTCCCTTCCTCCCGTCCATTCTGCGATCCCTTCGTCGCGGTTCATCTCGCTCTTCCCGCACAAGAGAGAGAATCCCGTATGACGGACTCGGTTGAGTCTCTCTTCAGGAGCGCCAACAGAAAATTGGAAACATCCGATAGGGTCGCTATGCCGCGGCCGCACGATAAAAAGATACGTGCCGCGCCGCCGTCGGAACCGGCCTGCAAAATATGCTGATCCGTCGTGGGTCCACGCGGAACAGTGTGACGCGGTCGGGTTCTATGTATCTCTCAGAGCCCTATAGATTTCGCAATTTTGCACCTTCGTGCTCGCTCCCTCGATCGTCCGTGTCTTCGTGCTCTGGTAATTTTGCTAAGAATTTCGACAAATGATTTTCCGCC